GAAGTAAATATTTTAGTTACACAGTGAGAAATAAGCTTACGGACACCTACATATATGAGGCAAACACCCATCTTGGACCGACAATTTTTGTCAACGTCATTTTTAAAATTTTTCCGAACAATTCTCTCTAGTCCGTGCACTTTTAACCGAAAACGAACAATATATTTTTATGAATTGTGGGAAAATTTCTCTGTTAGCCGGACGCAAACACCCTAGCAGCAAATGCGAGGTACCAAATTATGGCATAACATGTACTTTAAACACCACAAATCAAGTTGGGGATTTCTTCGAATAAAGAATAGTTAGAGCATGACCTTGACGTTGATTATATGAGTCGCGATACAATAGACGTCATTGACGACATAATTTGTACAGATACCTATGTATCCACATACCTTCGTGGGTGTCCCAGTAATATTGTATTTTTGTTTTGCTTTTTTGAAAGCTGAAAACTCTTGGGCGGGTAACGACCGTCGGCTAATTATTGTATGCTGAAGACGAGATCCCCCTTAGAGGGCAAATGAGTATGGCCCGATTCATAATGGTTTGAAAGAAAATGACCGTCGAATAGAAGTGTCCGCTAGGAGAGTTTCTCTGTATTTTACTCTGTAAACTTGATCATACTATATATCTATGTGCATATGAAACCATATTTTCATCTGTTAAATACATATGATGTACTCATATAACTATTGATCAATCTAAATTTAAAAAAACCATTTTCCTTTACGGTCGGTTTCAGTACATTTTATTGTTAACCTATTAGCATTGATTTCTGATTCATTAGAAAATTGTCTTGCACATATGTTGTTGTGTTGTTGAAAACTATCGCGCAGCATTTAAGATTGTATCGAAGTAACATGGAAGCTGTTAAAAATAAAAAACCAACTGTCGAATATTATTACAGACATAAGCTCGATATAATTGTCAAAAAGCAAAAAAAATAACAACAACAATCGCCGAAAATCAATGTTGTCAACAGCAATAGACACAAGAACACTAGCCACAATGTTTCAAAGTTTATGTCAAACGTTATGTAAATTTGTTTATTTTTTAACAAAACAAAAAGTAAAGCACAGAAAATGTAAACAAAATGTTTGTTTATTCTACAATTTTGTGTCGCTTGATAAACAGGCGGCCCCGTTCATGTCACCGTCCCCACGGACACAAGTTTCAAATGCATATGCACAGATACACAAAACACTTAGATATGTGCACATACGTGGGCATATCCATACAGGTACTTTGCATATTAGTGTACGAAAATCTCATATGCATACATACATATTCGCTAACACATACAAACTACTTAAAAAGCTTTTTCTTACGGCCAGCCGGACCCGTCGGATGGGCTGCCAATTTACGTGTGCTGCGTGTGTGTATGTGTGTTTATATCTTTATTGTACGCATTGAATTGTTTTTATGATTTTAATGTCATCATAAGTTTCAGTCAGCTTTTTATTTGTGGTTGGGGCTTGTTGATACGCGCCTCTGTTTATTGAACAATTACGTTTATTATAATGAATATTTTTAATTTGTAATGTTATTGTTATAGAACGACCCATCCACATTACTGACTGCGGTTTCTTGGGACGCCTTTCCGTAAATACTCACCTCCACACTCAACCATTTGCCGCTCCGGAGACCCGTTGAGTCCCTAGTCGCACCTTTGTCTCTACTTTCTCAACACCAATGAAACTGGAATGGCGGCATCTGTTAAGGCTGCATTTGTTTATTCGATGGTCGTCCCCACCCCTCGATATATGGTGCACTGGCATTGAGGCGCTGCCCACTTACTAAATCATTTTAGATGCCCAAATGAACAATTCCAGTTTCGGATTCTGTTTAGGAACCGCCGCATGATCAATCAATTGCAGTGGCAGTTTATGGCGGACTAATTGATTTTTTAATAGTAGAAAGAAAATTGATTTTGCATGGAATTGTGCAATAAACCCGTTCGCTTGGGCTAGCATCGCAGACTTAAACTGGATTTCTAGTTACCGCTAATTAAATGCGCAGTAAATTCATTGAATTTTATCTGTACATCGGGGATGTAATTCAATCGAAGTCACGGATAAAATTAAACTAATCGAAAACGAGTTAGCAAGAAACGAAAATGTGAGAATTGCATCGAGGAAATATATTGAAACTGAACGATTTTAATATGAAAGATTTTAAATTGTCTAATTGCAATGCTTTTCCATTTATTAAACATTTATTAAACATGTTAAAATTTCTTTACAACTTTTCTCATTTATATGTTTTATATTATGTTTTTTTTTTATATGTTTTTTATTGACAAATCAATTCAAACCAAGTAAGAGTGCTCAGTGCTTGTGTCGGTAATGCCCGACTATGAGATACCCTGAACCCAGCACACTTTACCTTGTGCTTCCTTACTTTGCTCCAAATGGTCTATATGCAATTTTAGTATGGCATTCCAACTGTAAATACCAAGCGTTAATTACCATTTTTGGGAAAATGAGGAGTAATCCAAAAATCAAAGTTTTTAAGATCTGTGTACACATAGTCTAAGTACCAAATTTGGTGTATCTAGCTCTTATTAGCTCCGAGATATGGTCACAAAACAGGATTTAAATATCTATTTTATGGAAATGGTACAAGTTATCGATGATTTGAAAGACCTACGTTCAAAATTAAAAATATCTCTCATATATACGAACTTATGGCTAGACAGACGTACATGGGTCAATCCACTCAACTGTTGATGCTGATCAAGAATATATATCCTTTATGAGGACGGAGATGCCTCGTTCCGCCTGTTACATACATTGCATATAGCCTTCTTACCCATTTTCAATGTGTTCAGGGCATACCAAATTGAATAACTATTATTTATTTACTAACAATTGTATTTCAAAAGAAGCCAACGTATTTTGAACTCGTAGCTCTATATCCAAGCTTTACTGTACATTCTCAGAAAAGTTCCCTAGCTATACATTCATGGAGATCATTGACCTATTGCATATCAGAAATTTTTAGTCTGGGAATTTAGCTATCAATATTAATATGAATTTCATATTAATCTCTCTACAATAGCCCCGCTCGCCACTGAGTGTGATGGACTTGTGAGTAAAACTGCATTGAAAGCATACCGCAGAGGCCGGAGACGAAACGAGTCGACCATTGACGGCCATTAAAAAATCTGCCGTAAACTTGAATGAAAAATCAATATGTCTCGCACATTTCTGAGATAGATTTCTGGTCCTGCGCTTCTCTTTGTCTGCCGCTGCCGTTTGGCTCAAAGCGAACTCCGCTCTCAGCAATTCCGGTTTTGTTTGGCTTACTCAACTGTGCGCCGACTCACCACCGCAACGGCAACGACGACGTCGCGGTCGGCCTCCATCTGCCAGCAGCAGCAACAACAGTCGTTGCCATGACGACGCCGCCGCTTTCTTAATATGTGTGTGCGTGTGTGTATGTTAGTCTGCGCGTGTGTCTACCTGTCCGACACAGACACTACGGCAGCCATATTGGATTCCAGCACTCCTGTGCATAGAGTAGCCATCTCGCTCGCACCTGTGCGCCTCTATTGCGAGTGTCGTAAATCTGTTTTAGGGGCGCGTGTGTCCTGGGAGTCGTGATTTATGGGACGAGTTGTAGCTGCTTACTGTAGCGTGTAAATAATTTAGATTAGTTTAGCATTTGTGTGGCTTGTCTGCTACTAGCTGGGGGTTGATTAGAATTCAAGTTTCTTGGCGGTTGATAAAGTTCCTTCAGACGTGAAACTTGAATATTTTTATGGCCATTACATTCTGTGCTTCAAAATTTCACGTGCAATTAAAATAATCGAAATGATAAAATACTCGTAGAGATCGTAGATTTGATACGCAGCGCTTGTATTTCAGAATTAACTTACCGCCGCTTGCAAATTATTGGTCATAACGTTTATAAAACTCATTCTGAGGAAAGTAAAAAATGCTTGAGTGATGATTTACAACTCCAGTGGAACTCCATACAAATGCACCTTTCAAAATATTACGCAAAAATTGTCCCTTGCATTGTTGTCGGAAAATAGCAACTTGCCCAACCATAAAAAATTTGCCGCTGACATGAAAACCTTTTAAAAAAAAAATAAGGAAAATATGAAAGCAAAACGAAAGGTGCTGTCATAAAACAGCAAGCGGGAAAAGTGATCCCTGGCCTGCAATTTGCAGATAGCGAAATTTTGATTTCCGAAACATAAACACGAAGCCGATTCCCATTCGAACATTTCTATTGCCTTTTCGCTCGCTGTATCATCCACGCACCGTCGCGCAAAAAATTCGCACAGGTAGCGTGAAATATTGGTAAAAAAAAAAAATAGACAAAACAACAAAGAAAATCGAGAAAAGTGAGACAAAAATACTTGGAAAACGTTTCTCATCCCAGCGGGAGCTACTGCTGCGAAAGCTGTTTTCGTTCACCCTTTACATGCCGTGCAATCGGAATCAGAGCCCGGCCAGCCGTCAGCCGACCCCCAGGGAGCTGATGTCCTGCCGCGATTCGCCTTGCGCTGTGTGGCGCTGTCGACTGTCGGTTGGCGGTTGACGATTGACGTCAGAGCTGGCCTGGTTACAAAAATTATTTATTTTGCTCGTAATTTGCAGCAGACATTCGCAGTGCATTCACAATCACGTCCCTGTCCCTGTTCACTATTTTAGTTTATTTTGCCGTTTTCGTTCCTGTTCTCGATCGCATTACCCTTTCGCTCTTCGCCAGTAGTTTCGGCTCTCAGCGCGCAATTAAACAATTCCCAAATCAGCAGCAATGTTTTTGCTGCTCACGTTGTCTCTAATGGCTCCATAAAATTCAATGCAAATTCTCGTTCACATGTGTTGCAACCATAAGGCGAGGCGAAAATCCATTTTTGGCAGTCTGACAGCATCTTCGCAGCTTGTTAAGAGTTTTCAATAACGGAACCAGCACTGTAGCAACTTGAGCTGTGTGCGTGACAATCGTGACTAACGCGACTTTCTTTGTTCCCTTCTTGTTTGCAGGGCCCAACGGATGCCCGCGACGTCGCGGTCGCCAGACTTACACTCGCTTCCAGACGCTGGAGCTCGAAAAAGAGTTCCACTTCAACCACTATTTGACGCGGCGACGACGCATAGAGATTGCACACGCGCTCTGCCTAACAGAGCGCCAGATCAAGATCTGGTTTCAGAATCGACGCATGAAATTAAAGAAGGAGCTGCGCGCGGTCAAAGAGATCAACGAACAGGTAAGTTGTCGGAAGCATATCGAAACGATTGCGATGGAATTTTAAATAGGTCGCCAGCAATGTATCTAGATAGTCGCTTAATATGCATTTATCCTGTCTTCTTGTCATGTTCACGCTTTAGGCACGCCGCGACCGAGAGGAACAAGAGAAAATGAAGGCTCAGGAGACTATGAAATCCGCCCAGCAGAACAAGCAAGTGCAGCAGCAACAGCAGCAGCAGCAACAACAGCAGCAACAGCAGCAACAACAGCACCAGCAACAGCAACAACAACAGCAGGATCATCACTCGATCATTACACACAATCCGGGCCACTTGCACCACTCCGTTGTCGGTCAAAACGATCTCAAGCTTGGATTGGGCATGGGTGTCGGAGTAGGCGTTGGTGTCGGAGCTGGTATTGGACCAGGTCTTGGAGCTGGCCTTGGTGGCAATCTTGGAATGATGAGCGCCCTTGACAAGAACAATCACGATCTTCTCAAGGCGGTTAGTAAAGTCAACTCCTAAATGTTGCGTGGATATTCTCTCAACTATCATCATTACCGCTACTATCACTAGCATCTACTATCCACCTACCGTAATCGTCATCGTCAATGTCATCGTCGTCGTCGTCGCTTGATGCCTTGAGTTTGGCGTTTTTTCGTCTCTTCTGTGTAATACGAAAAACAAAACAAAGTTGATAACTCAAATACGTAAAGTTTTACATAGTAAATAGTCGTTTAAGTCTACATATAACGGATCAAAATACATGAACTTATAACCAAGTACATATGTATGTGCATGCATACAGTGCACAAGCCAGATCGATGACTGTGCACAGGGGGTCACAGATAATTTGTTTATGAGTTGGCAAATGGACATGTAACTGCAAAGGCTTTAATTATTTTTATATATTTAAATATTTGTATCCCCAGATTTGACTTTGTTATACATTTTGATTTTCGTATCGGTACTTCCTTAGACATTATTGCCTATTTGATAGACAGAATTGCCTAGGAGTATGAAACCAACTTGTTTCAAATAGTTTCTTGTTCTAATGCGCCTAATTCAAAGGATGTCCACCAGTTACAATAACCCCCTGTGCACAGCATAGTAATATTAATGATTCCATCGATCTAATAAAATAGCGGTAAATGATAAAGTATTGCCATCGAGAGCAAAACGCTGAATCGTAGAGGTTCCCAGACTGGCAACAATGATTGGAAATAACCATGTTAAATGAGCGATATTTTTTAGTCAAATAGTCAGATAGTCAAAAACTTCTGCAACGTGGACATTGGCCCATTGTCAATGACCAATTAGCGAGTTTAAATGTAAAATTATTTACGACTGCTGTAGGATTACATAGTATGATAAAGAAACTCGTTTAACTATGTTTATGAATATATGTATGAATTTAAAAATATAATACCCCTACTTACTTATAGAGATAAAGATTGTACGTACGTTCTGTACTCACATACTATTTATTGGAAATTTTTGTTTATGTTCTTAAGTGAAAAACTCTTCCAATGTTCTTTTTATTGTGTTGCATGTTTTGCTGTAATTTGTTGTATGCTTTTAATGCTTTTATATTTTGCTTAGACGAATTCTAAATACATTAGTTCCGTCAATGCCATATTAATATTAATTATAATACCAGTTTAATGTAAATCATGATAAACAAAAATGCAAAATGAAACAAAAAACATTGAATTACAAAATAAAAAAAAATAAAACTTAAAAAAATGCGCAAACATTTCCCCATATAATAGATTAGGTGTATTGTAATGTGTAACGAACGGTATGCAACATACCCAAAAGCATAATCATGATTTCAAATACGTAATAATAATAATAAAAACAAACAAACAAAAACAAGATAAATGTCGTTTGCCAGTGAATAAAATTAAAGTAAAAATTAAAAAAAAAAGAAAATAAAATGTAAGTTTGTAATCGGCGTTGAATGCTACGCGCTAAATATTACAAATAGTAAACTCTGAAATACGTATTAGCTTAAGGTTGCAGCAACAACAACAAAAAAATAATAATAGTAAAAAAGAAAAAAATACCCAACCAATAAATCTGAACAGGCCAAGTAAAATGAAAAAACGCGGTAAAAATCCATATACGTAGAGTTTTAACCTCCCGAAATTAAATTTACTTAGCGTAAACAGTGAGAGGAGAATTGCAAGTTGATTTAATATAATGAAGATACAAAGTAAAGGTAAAAAGTATATTTATTTATCCTACATAAAGTGAAGCAAATCTTACACACGCATATTTACAAATACAAATAAAAACGTAAATTAACGACAAATATATATTACAAATATGAACTTATATATACTATATATATATGAATATATACATATACGTGTATGTAGTACAGTTAAAATTCATTGCAGTCACTTTTAACACGTCTATCATCAGTCCAATTCTTTTTAAAATATGCTTTTGCTTTGTTTTTACCCTTATTGGTTCAAGTGATACGATATACGATAATTTCTTATAGGGTTTTGTTATGCATCCACATGAACTGCAAAACCCTTTGCCTTTTGTTTTGTTTTGAAATTTGAATGGGTTCGATTCATCTTGTTTGCCACACAATATTTATGATATTTTGGTAGTTTCAAATTGAAATATGTTTAGTTTAATGGCCTAGCAAATCTGAGCATTTTGTTTAACACACGCTTTTTACATATATTTTTGTTTGAGTTTAATGCTAAGATATTTCTGTTAGTTCTAGTTTAAGTTTAGTTGTGACAAGTTGTGTATTATATGATGATACGAAAATAATTAAAATATTTTAGAAAACTTGTTTCACTCTTTTCGCACGTCTCTGACACAACAACAACACAAATCAAAAATAACAAAAGCCCATCCAAGACATTGACCGACCTGTCAGAGTCATAAAATATTAAAAGAATCGATTAGTCTAAAAACTGACAACTTATATACGTAGAAGACAACAATATATTTATTAACAAAAACATACATATACAAATTTTAAATCAATTAAAAACTAAAATCTTACTACTCAGCCACAAGTTGAAATCGAATTCGGTTTTCGAAACAATCGATAAAAAATGTCTTCACCACGGCATATACGTAATTGAATGATATTCAAACTTTATGAGGGACTTACGAGTCTATTACTGAGGAAGTGGCTCATATATAATTGAAATGCAGCAACTCTTGCCCTAATATTTGTAAATAAAGTGCAATGCAATGCATATGTTATAAGAAACCTCAAAATAAACAAATAGACGATCACAAAATTCGCTTGGAAGCAATTCAAAGGACATTTGCTCGCTTAAAATGAGTTTAGTCATTGGAAACATGCAAGCAACAGCTATGAGAGTTTATAAGCTAATGGTTAAAAAAAAGCATTAAACGGCGCTGTATGACAAAAGTAATCTTAAGTAAAAAACAAAAGAAATTACCAAAAAGAAATATAAAAAATAAATAAAAAAAAAAACTAACGAAACTAAATTTTTATTCAGCAGAGTCTACTCAAAACACTATCACATCCGGCAGTTCGTAAAGCGCACAGTTTTGGCATAGCAAATGGGAACTTCTTCTTAGAACTATAAGGGTGGCCGTAGTTCGTCGTGGGTTGCTGGCAAAAGCAGCCCTCATATAGCCAATAAAAACAAGAAGGGTTTTATGAGATAGTATTTTTCTCTATCCGAATGTGTTGTTAAATCTAAGATGTATTTGGGGCGCTCCAAACTAAAAAATATTTATTGAAATATTCTAAAAATAAGATTACCATTATTTCTTTATTTAATTCTTAATCGTATAGAATAATTATACCCTTTAGAGGGTATTATTATTTTGTTTTGAAATGTGTAAGATATATCCGACTTTATTAAAAATACATATTCTGGAATTTTTTCTATATAGGTAATATATGAAATAGTGAAAATGGGACCGATTGTAGAGATGCGTGGCGAAAATGTTACCGCCTTAACCAAAACGCATCCGAAGAAAGTTGGGGCGGGAAAAACTAGCAAAGTCGTCTCAGCCATTATTGAATCGTGCTAGGCGGTAGTCCCTTAATGGCTAATTGATACATTCTCACTTGCTAATGAAGTTAATGCGAATATTAGGCATTTCATATTATGGAAATTAATTTAACTCCCGTCTGGGCAAAGACTCGGAGAGTAAATTGGATTTGGGGTACGCATCGAGGGGTTGACTTTGCCTATACGTACCATGTGCTCTGTTTATGATTTCCGATTTGCAACGTTTACCACGTACAAGCGAAATGTTGCAAAACGTCTTTAATTAAATTTAATTAATGCGGCAACAACTCAAGGGATTATGATAATAAGAGCACACATAACGAGAGCATTTATAGCGCGCACATGTGCAATACAGATCAGCCGCTACAGCAGCCCTGGAAGGACTCAGACTTCCAATCAGTGGTGACGGGAAAGATGCGAGAGGGGGGCCCAGACTGTGTCCCGTTTGGACCAACAACAACATAATGGCTGCGTCAACGAGCTGCGTCTTTGGCGGAAACGGAAACACAAGCACGCAAATGGCTCATGTATGAAATAACAGAAACTTTCGAAAACGCCAAAATGGCGTTCCAAAGATTGCCCTATTGATGATGAGTGGGCGGCAGTGCAAAGTTGGAGGCAGGCACCAACGTTTATTTCGGGTATGTTCGGTACGAGGACATCGCCATTCCAGGCACGTAGCTTGGCATAAGTTCCCATTTGGATGCTGTTATTAGAAAAGTTTCTGCGATAAACTGGCCCCGAAGACGATAATTGACGCGATAAGGCACCGTTTCATATTTTCCCACTACATATGAGAGCAGAAGCAAACTCTAGCGGAAGCACGTGGGATGCCATTATAACCAGGGTTGTAGGCGTGTGCCATAGTCATAACACATGGGAATGTTTTGAAATGGTTTAAAATTAGTTTTTTATTAAACTATACTTAACAGGGCAAGCTTTAATTAAAATATTAATCTATTACACTACAAATTGATATATGTATTTATATAATAATATATATGTACAATATCCCAAATTTGTAATAGAAATCGCCCAAATGTCGGATTCAGCGAGAACTGCGCCAGATACTCGAGCAGAACAACTATGAGTGTAGTCGGTAATGCCCGATCTGCAGATACCTTGCGGTTACAAACATTATATCTTTCTAAATACACAAAAGCCACAAAAATAAGTTTCCGATCTTTATGAAATGTAAATGAGGCCTTAAAACTTATATAAATACCAGCACAAATTAGGTGTTTACATTTTTTTGAGTCTACATGCAATATTTGGCGTGTATGTTAAAAAATCAGGGCTTTTCATGAAAGCGGGCAAGTCATCGATCACTTGATAAACTCGATTTGCACGGGCGCAATGATGACCTACGCTCGAATTACATTCGGTCAGACGAACAGAAGAGCAGACGAATAAACATAATCGGAAATGGCTAGATCGACTCAGCTGTTGATGCTGAGCAAGAACATATATACTTAATGGGGAGATGTCTCCTTCTGCGTCTGTTACAAACATTTGCACATAACCGTTATACCCTTTTTAAATGGGTTCAGCATATAAAACTGCTTGATGCGCACTTTTCTCAGTAGATGTGGTTTCTGGTCCTTTAGCCTCATTTTGTTAACTTCCTTGCCTATAGTTCGATCCTCCCCAGGGAATCAATATGACATTCGAATGTGTTTACCGAAACTTAAAGCTAAAGCTCCAAAAAATATATTAATTTTGTGGTCGGTATGCTAAAAGTGAAATATTCTTAATCTGAGTAAACTATACAAGAACCTATATACATCAAAATTTCGTATTATGCTTTAAATCTTAGTCTCCATATCTATATTTATCGATATTGTGTGAATTGGAGGAGATATCGAAAAGTAAAAGTATACTGAGTTTGCGATTGACTTGGGTGTTGATGCTGATCAATAATATATACATACATACCTTCTAACCATTTTCATTGGGCTTATGGATTATTAAATATATATGCTCAAATGCATTACACTTTACTTAAAATTAAACAAATACAATATCTAGACAATAAGTTTCCATTTAATGATCTAGACATAGTTATATGATGGTCGTAGATGCTGTTGGTAATTTAATTTCCCCTTATCCTATGTAACATTTAAGTTCATATAAAAAAATAAATAAAAAGTATACCTTTCTTTTTTTCCAATTTTAATTGATAAAGGTAAATTGAAAAAATCCTGATTGTCAAATAATTTTTCTAATCTTATCCATGCAAACTAAGTGTTCGTAGTGCTACATACATTCATCTGTATTTAAAAGATACAAATACAATATACATACATATGGACATGTATACACAAATACGCAATTATGCAATAAACATATGTACATATGTATAGGTTGAGCCTGATAATTTATGGTACATGAATTCGTTCCCGAATAGCGTTTAAAAATGTACAATATTTTGACATAGCAAACAAAGCCGCAAATTCCGAGCGCTGATCCTATTTTAAATTCAGATAATGTTCCGGCGCTGTTGCTGCGGCATATGCGCGGCCTAATTACAGCGCGCCACAGATGCTCCCTTTGCTCGGCCCGGATTCGAATTCGGGTTTGGAAGTAATCCTCAATCCTCGCTTGGCAACAGCGGTGCAAAATGGCCACAGCGCTAGGTAAATGTAATGCTTGGCAATTACAGAGCGCGTTTCATTTAATTGAAACATTATTTTGCATAAATAAAACCAGGCATAAAACACCCTGTTCAATGGCGCCTTTACCCTCATTCTCAGTCATCGCCCTCAACGTTGCCGCCATTATGCGCGAAGGGTGTTTTAA